AATTGAAGACAACTTTGAATCAAGCTCCAATTTTGACTAAACCTGAGCACGGGAAGGATTTTACAGTGTATAGTGATGTTTCACACTCTAGACTTGGTTGTGTTCTAATGCATGAGGGGAGGGAAGCCGCTTATGCATCATATCAGTTGAGGCCACATGAGTGCAATTACCTAACCCATGATCTAGAGTTGGAAGTTGTGATCTTTTCTTTGAAGATATGGAGACACTATCTCTATGGAGAGAAGTGTTATATTTTTACTGATCACAAGAGTTTGAAGTATCTTTTGACCCATAAGGAATTTAATCTAAGGTAACGTCGTTGGCTTGAGCTTTTGAATGACTATGATTGCGAGATTGACTATCATCCATGTAAAGCTAATGTTGTTGCGGATGCTTTGAGTCGGAAGATGATAACTGATCTGAGGTCTTTATTTTCCAGGATGAAGTTATATGATGATGGTATTATGTTAACTGAGTTACAGATTAAGACGACATTGGCTGAGGAGATCAAGGCCAAGCAGACTGATGGTCAATCTGATAGGGTGATTCAGATTCTAGAGGACATGTTATGGGGCTGTGTGATTGATTTTCGTGGTAGTTTGGAGGACTTTTTGCCCTTGTTTGAGTTTGCTTACAATAACAACTATCAGGCTAGCATTCTTATGGCACCGAATGACGCACTATATGGGCATAGATGTCTTACCTTGATCTATTGTACTGAGTTACGTGATAGAAAGACTTTGGGACCTGAGTTAGTCCGAGAGACTAAGGTCACCGTCAGGTTGATCCGTGACCGCCTGAGAGAGGCATTTGACAGGCAGAAGTCTTATACTGACCAAAGAAGGAAAAACATCGAGTTTGAGGTTGGATATCAGGTCTTTTTGAAGGTATATTCGTGGAAAAAAATGATGAGATTTGGGTGAAAAGGTAAATTGAGTCCGAGATTTATTGGGTCATATCGTATTTTGAAGAGAGTCGGATCTATTGCATATCAGCTCCAGTTACCTCCCCAACTCAGGCGTATTCATGATGTCTTTAACGTGTCTATGCTGAGGCTTTATCGTCCAGACCCTAGTCATTTTATTCATATAGAAGATGTTGAGTTGAGGCCAGATTTATCCTATGATGATGAGCTTGTTCAGATTTTGGATTTAGATGAGATAGTGTTTAGGAGCAAGGATATACCGATGGTAAAAGTTCAGTGGAGTAATCGTGGTCCAACATAAGCTACTTGAGAGACAGATGAATCAATGAAGACTCAGTTTCCACATCTGTTTGATTCAGGTAAATTTTGAGGACGAAATTTTCTTTGGGGGGAGAATTTTCAAATTCTAATATTTAATTTAAAATATAATTAATTTATTTAAGGAATTAAATTGAATTTTTTTGAAAATTTATGGGTTAATTTTAAATGTTTAGAAAGTTTAGGGACTTAGTCTTGAATTTTTCAATTTTTGGGCTATGGAGAAAAATAAAAAAAATGGAAATATGTGGATGAAACATTTTGAACCCCTAACCTAATGCATAGTCGACCATAATCCTACCATCTAAGCTAGGTTTCTGTTTAAGATATTTTTAATTATAATATATTTTAAACTTATCGAGCTTGTTTTAATATCCCAAAACTTACCCCCATTTTAGATTTTAAACCCCAAATCCCAAAATGTAAACTCACAAATCCCTAAGATTAATTGTCGGCCCCTCAACGATTCATCGTCGTCCGGGCACCTTGGAGTTCACCGCTACCTTATGTCGACCAAAACCCTTCTTGTCTGTCACTGAGATTCATCGTCGTTTGCCCTGAATCGGTGTTAAACCATTCAACGAGAACCCTAGCTACCGCCATTGAAATTTGTCAATTTCGATCGATCTAGTCAGCGTTGCTGCTCACTACCCTCACCGTTGCATCCCTCGTATAAATCATAACAAAACTTGGGTGGGTTTGTCAGTTATCCATAGTTGCTCCGTCATCCGTCGCTGGTAAGAGTTTTGATCGCTTTTTATTCGTTTTCATCATGATATTGGTTCGATATTGGGTTATTTTAGAATTAAATTATTAAGTTGCATATTGTGGAGTGATCGACCGTCCTCAATGACCCCTGTCGCCGCCGCAAGCGCCACAATGTACCGTCAGTGCGCATGGGTATTCTTGGTCGGTCCAAGAGCCTTCTGGAATCGGTCCAGTCAAATTGGATCGGTCCAGTCAGACCAAACCAGGTTGAGCTAAGTCAACTTGTTGACTTTGACAAAAAAAACAAATTTTTCGAAAAGTCGCATTTTATGTTTTTCAACGTTCTAAGTCCAAATCTGAAGTTCGTGTTATCAAATTTGAACCTGAAAGCCTCTGAATTGACTGTCAAACCCAAACATGTATATTTCCTAGAGTATTTTATTTAAGAAATTAAATTAAGGTTAATGACTAATCTAAGATATTGTTATTTGAAGGTAAACGAGACTCTCCCGACCGTTCAACAGCTTGACTCAGCTCCTCTTAATTCTTTCGACCCCGTGAGCCAGTGATTACTCGTATGATCCGTAAACCCTAAGAATATTCGAATTAAAATATTATTTCGATAATAACTTTGTTGCATTATGAATTAGGTTCGAGTACTGCTGCAGAGTGTGGCGAGGTAGGTGCTCAGTAAACTTGTCGACTGGTCCTTTTTTGCCAGATGTGTTCCCTATGTGTTATATGATTGTTTTATTTGTTTTGAAATGTGATTTACCAAAGTTACTTATTTACTGAATCTTTTAACTGCTTGATATTATGATTTACTGATTTATTGGTTTACTATTTATGAAATATGATTATTTGATATATGTTATCTGATTACTTATTTTCACTGGGAAATATGATTATGTCGATTTATGGATCATGGAATTTACTGCTTACTATGTGAACTATTTTATTGAGATACTGCTTGGTGGAGGTTTTACTTTGATCATGCTAGTAATTCCTTATAGACCTAAGGTGACCTTTGGGTAAGCTTCGAGGCCCCAAGAACTTTTTTGAGTAAGCTCTCAAGCCCCAAGATACTCCCTTAGGTTGGCCCCTATATTCAATGGGTATAGGATAAGTCCTTATGGATGCAGTGTAGGGATTGCATTACGGTGTACGGATAGGGTAGTTATGAATTTTTAAAATATAAACCTTGTTGTTACTTTATTTAAAGTATTAAAGGATGTTTTGAAAATTTCAATGTAAACCGTTAGATCTAGTCGTAACGTATAGGTTGGGTATAGGGTTACATTTACACTTATATGTCATTATTTTATGTCATTCAAAATAAATTGATCAATTATATAAAAAATTATCATTTTTTTCATTTTTATATAACTCGATATATTATTAAATTTATATTTTAAATTTATATATTTAATCAGCATAAAATAAAAGTAATGAGACAAAGAAAGTATATGAGATAAAATAAAAATATTAATACTCCAAGCTACTTATAGCATAAATTCTGGTAAGCAATGGGAAAGGCCGACACATTAGATATTTTCTTTCTTTTTGTGGAGGAAAAGCTTAACCAATGGAGCAAGTTGAGATTTGACTTGTATATTAACATTTTTTTTTGTCTTTGTATATTAAGGTTGTCTTAATCCTATATTAAAGTTATCGTAAAACAGAACTAGATGTAGTAATAAGTAAAAACACATTTGATAACATTGTTAAAATGTTTTCCGCATGTACGAAATATATTCTTACATTAATCTTTTTCATCGAATTATTCGTGATCTAACTAGTAAAATAACTTATTTTACTTATTTTCATATATTTTAAGAATTAACTTTTATTCCTTTTTATGTAAATATGAAAATAAATAATTACTTAAAAATTAATTATAAATGAATTAGTATATAAACAATAAAAAATGAAGTGAATAACTTTTGCTTAATAAAATAATTTTTGGTGAAGGACTTGAGAAATTGGTTCAAAGAATAATACTGAGTTATTCTCCAAAGATACCTAAAGTGAAATAAACTAGGGTAAAATACACATCAAGTTACGAACTTTTGGTCTGGTTATAAATAAGTCATTTAAAAAAATAATTTAACTATTTAATTAAAATATTATTACAAAATTTTTTGAAGTTAAAACTAAACAAATATATTAATATGACGTGTATAATAATAATTTTAGTTTATACAACTTATATAATATATTAATTTCGTTATAATTGAAATAATTTATTAAAATTAAATTTCATATTTAAAAGTTCAATCAATTTAATCATTTTATACGATATTATCGAAATAAGCGAGTTTATTAAATCAAAGTAGCAATTAAATAATTACATTCTACCATATAATAATAAGTTACTCTTAAACTATTATTATACAATAAAATTAATATAATATTTATGAGAAAAGAAAAAGTAATATAAGAGAAAAAAAATCTTAATTGACATAATTTTTTTAATAAAAAGCACTGAATCTAAAAAACTATTTTAAATTAAGATAAAATTAATTGAACATATAAATTTTAGAAATAATAAGTATTATTATATTTAAACATATTATTATTTCGTTTTATATTTAATGATTTATATTTATTTCTAATAATATTTTAATCAAATAACTAACTTATAACATTTAAAAAACAGTTCATTTATATTTAACTAACATTGAGTGAGCTGATATTTATTTTATCTAACAAAATAGTCCAAAATGAACAGTATGAATGCATGTATACTGAGGCACCATGAAATCTAGATTTATTTATAATTATTATTTATTTTATTAATGATATCTACTCTTCTTATACAAAATTTTTCTATTATATATATATATATATATCCATCCTAAAAGTATATGTGAATTCATCACTGAATATGAATATTTTTCAAAACTCTTAGCATTTCATTCAGCATCTTTTATCTCACACTCTTGGAGAAAAGTAAAGAACATATCGACTTTAACAATATAAAATAATGGTGGCCCGTATTTCTTTCCTCAAAGCTCGTCGTTGTTATTGACTTATGTGTTGACCCGGAACTCCTTTCAGCTTGAAACCTTTCCTTTCTACAAACTCAAGAACACTGCTGCAATTTCTAAGAAGAAAAAAAAAGATAAAAGAACAGGTCCTTAAATCCTGGTTGCGCGCGTGAGCTTTTGAATACAGCTTCCATGGCGGAGCAAGGTAAAACTGGCGATGAAGTAATTCATGGTTGCTTTTCAACGGTTGGGCTTGGACGCCTCAAGGGTTTCGCGACGACGACGACTACCTTCATATTCTTCTTCTTCCTCGTTGTTATTGCAGCTCTGTTTTGGATGGATGTTGTAAGTCATAATTCTTTCTTTTATGAATAATTTTTGAAAAAAAATAATTTTTATTACAATAACAAATTAATTGTTTATCAGCCAATCATACGAGGGAATCCGTTTAGTTTTACTACCTCTGAAATTCATCACGAGAGGATTCCATTTCCTCTCACCTGTTCCGGTTCAGTTAATTACACGTCGGTGGTTAAGCCCAAAGAATCATCGGCCAAAACTTGCCCGGACTATTTCCGGTGGATCCACCAAGATTTAAAGCCATGGAAAGCTTCGGGAATTACAAAAGACATGATCGAGAGGGGAGTACCGAGTGCGGATTTCCGGCTCGTGATTGCCAACGGAACGGCTTATGTGGATAGATACAGACCGTCGTATCAAACCAGAGATTTGTTCACTTTGTGGGGCATTCTGCAGCTTCTAAGGTTGTACCCTGGAAAAGTACCGGACTTGGACCTTTTGTTCTATTGTGGAGATAATACTGTGATCATGAAAAGAGACTACAAAGGACTGTTTGCTAAATCATCGCCGCCGCCGGTGTTTCATTATTGTGGAGAGAAGGCGGCGCTGGACATTATATTCCCTGACTGGACCTTCTGGGGATGGTAAAAGAAAACACTCAAATGCTTACTTCTACTGCAAGTAACTAGCTAATCATGTTTGCTTTGTTGTGGCAGGGTAGAGGTTAATATAAAGCCATGGGAGGAGATCTTGAGGGCAATAAAGGGAGGGAGGGAGAAGGTCAAGTGGGAGAAGAGGGATCCTTATGCCTATTGGAAGGGTGCAATCACTTCTAGAGATAGGTCTCATCTTATGAAGTGCAACCTTTCACACACTCATGATTGGAACGTTCGGCTTTATTTGCAGGTAACTTCCGAATCCGAAATCGGATAAAACTCGGGCAATGCCAAGCCAAATGGGGTGACTCTCTGGTTTGTTTATTGATTCAGGATTGGGGTAAAGAAATCGGAGAAGGATTCAAGCATTCTAATTTGGAAGATCAATGCACCCATAGGTATAAAATTTATGCAGGAGTGACATGGTCTGTAAGTGAGAAATACATAATGGCGTGCGATAGTATGACCTTGATGATAAAGCCTAAATACTACGATTTCTTCTCGAGAAGCCTCGTGCCGATGACGCATTTCTGGCCGATCCAACGCAGAAAGAAATGCAAGCATCTTAAGTTTGTAGCTGATTGGGGCAATAATCACACTCATGAGGTACGTATTCTCAGAAAATCGATACATGGATTGCACAGAATTCAATCATTTATATATGTGAACTTGCAGGCGCAGGCCATAGGGAAAGCAGGAAGCAAATTCATGGAAGAGATGGTGGCAATGCGAAATGTGTATGATTACATGTTCCATTTGTTGAATGAATACTCGAAACTCTTGAAATTTAAACCGATTATACCTCCGAACGCCCAACGGCTCTGTGCCGAAACCACCGAGCAAGGTTTAGCTAGAGAGTTTATGTTGCAGTCGATGGTGAAGTCTCCTAGTGATGAGCTTCCATGTGCATTGCCTCCGCCATTTGAGCCTAAAGACATTCAAGCTTCTTTCGACGCAGAAAAGAATATAGCTAGGCAAGTGGAGACTTGGGAGACTGAATATTGGAACAAAAAAACTAGACGATAAGAATTAAACTTTATGAGGTGACGGCCAAGCTCTCTCTCAATTCTCAAGTACTGCAAGAGCTTTCGATTCTTCAGGTTTACTCTGCTTACGGTGGTGATATAGTTTTTGGATCCTCCACTGTAGGCGGTGGTGTCTCCGTCGTTTCAGCTTCTGCCCGCATCCTCATCCTCTCGCCAATCGCCATTATTTGATCGGTGTTCCTGTAGAAGAAACCAAACAAATTTATATCTGAGGTTGTGATCCAATGACCATTTCATGTATAAGGCCTCGTTTCTCTGACCTCTTAATCACAGACATGATAGCACTGTTGACCTACTACAGAAACATCAAATGTTTTTTTTCAATGTAATATTTAAATTATTTAAATTTTATTTATAAATTAAAAGATAATACACAATTAAGTACATTCAAATTTAAAAAAACAAAAACAAAAATCTTGTCCTCCTAGAAATGCATTTAGTTCCCTAAATGTAAATTTATAATTGGTTATTTCATATTGATATATGCTTACAATCACTTCAAATATGTCATAGATACCAAGAAAAATAATTGATTAACGTAATTACTCTACTTTAAATTTTATATTCTTCTGTCTGGAGATTGTCTACTTTTGCTATATTTCATCTTTATTTATTTAATATGGCAATTTTTTTAAACAAATGATTATGTTTTTAATGAAAATTCTTATTAAATAATCATTCTTTCAAGTATTGATGTGATAATTCACGTATATTTTATTAATATTTTTTAATTTTTAATCAAGCGTGTATGTAATTATTGATATAATATTATTTTATTGAATTTTATATTATTCTTCTACAAAGTTATTTTTATAATATGAAAGCTATTTATTAGTATAATAATTTGTCATCTTGACAATGAAATATATACGTAAATTGTCATATCAATGAGTGGGAATTTTAATGATTCAATTATTATTTTTATTAAAATAACAATTTTTCTAAAGACGATTTGATCGAATCCAAATAAAATGAATCAGTGTAAAATTGATAAAGTTTATAAATCTGATGGCTAAATTTATAATTTAAATTAAAGAAAAGTGTGATATATGTAAAAGTTGTTAATCCTGGAAAGCTAAGAAGTTTTAACTTGTAAAAATCAAATTTATTACATACACTGGTCACTAGATACGGGACCGCGACTATTAGTCCCTACCTTGTTTAATTAATTACATACATAATAAAAGCAAATTTGACATTTGTATGAATATCGTGTCTCGTTTCCTCTCCGGATTGGCCTGGAAAATGTTGAATAAGCCAATGGCTGCCTTATAATAATCTTCAAATCTCTGTCAGTATTTCGTCACCTTTATCCCTTGTTTTGGAGAACATTCAAAAGGGAATGGTTGGCGGAATTTAATTTCAATGGTCCAAAGTCTCAATAATCACTTGTTTTTTTGTAGAAATAATTACATTAGAATTAATATGTTCAAAAAACTGATAAAAAAATATTTTAGCCATAGTCTTCTCCAGCTGATCATCTCAGTTTTGTAAGCTCCAATTACGTAGCTTCCATGGCGGAGCATGTTAAAGTTGTTCATGGCGATGAAGTGAGTCAAGGTTGGCTCTCAAAGGTCGGACTCGGACGAGTCAGGGGTTTTGTCACGACGACTACTACTTTCATCTTCTTCTTCTTCCTCGTCGTTATTGCAGCCCTGATTTGGATGGATGTTGTAAGTCCATTTCGTTTTACTTCACCAAGTTCTAAAATTCATCGTGAGAAAATTCATCACGAGAGGATTCAATTTCCTCTCAACTGCTCCTGTTTCGTTAATTACATGACGGATTTTGAGCCCGAAGAATCATCGGCCGAAACTTGCCCGGACTACTTCCGGTGGATCCACCAGGATTTAAAGCCATGGAAGGCTTCAGGAATTACAAGAGACCTGGTCGAGAGGGGAATTCCGATGGCGGATTTCAGGCTCGTGATCGTCAACGGGAACGTTTACGTGGAGAGGTACAGACCGTCGTTTCAAACCAGAGATTTGTTCACGTTATGGGGCATTCTGCAGCTTCTGAAGTTGTACCCTGGAAAAGTACCGGACTTGGAACTTCTGTTCTATTGTGGAGACAATACTGTGGTAATGAAAAGAGACTACGAAGGACACCGGGCCACATCGCCGCCACCGGTGTTTCATTACTGTGGAGAGAAGGCGGCTCTGGACATTATATTCCCTGACTGGTCCTTCTGGGGATGGTAAATTCTGGTGCATAGGCCTAATGTTTAATTTTACTGCAATTAGCTTGGTAATTAATCATGTTGGCTCTGTTGTGGCAGGGCAGAGGTTAATATAAAGCCATGGGAGGAAACATTGAGGGCAATCAAGGAAGGGGCTGAGAGGATCAAGTGGGAAAACAGGGAACCTTATGCCTATTGGAAGGGTGCTCCCACTTCCGCAGATAGGGGAGACCTTTTGAACTGCAATGTTTCGGATAAACACGACTGGCGTGTTCGGGTTTATAAGCAGGTAACTTCCGAATCCGAATCTGAAATCGGATAAAACTCGGGTAACTCTGTAACTCTCTGGTTTGTTATTGATTCAGGATTGGGGTAAAGAAATCGGAGAAGGATTCAAACATTCGAATTTGGAAGATCAATGCACGCATAGGTACAAAATTTATGCAGAAGGACGGACGTGGTCTGTAAGCGAGAAATACATAATGGCATGCGATAGCATGACCATTATGATACAGCCCGAATACTATGATTTCTTCTCAAGAAGCCTCATGCCAATGCGGCATTTCTGGCCTATCGGCCGCCGAAACAAATGCAGGCATCTTAAATTTGCAGTTGAATGGGGCAATAATCACACTCACCAGGTACTGCATTGAGTTCAGTCATTTGTATTTCAAAGTATACCCTTTTTCACTCGATGAACTTGCAGGCACAGGCCATTGGGAAAGCAGGAAGCAAATTCATGGAAGAGATGTTGACAATGCGAAATGTGTATGATTACATGTTCCATTTGTTGAATGAATACTCCAAACTCTTGAAGTTTAAACCGACGATACCTCCGAATGCGCAAAGGATCTGTTCCGAAACGACGGAGCAAGGGTTAGCGAAGGAGTTCATGTTGCAGTCGATGGTGAAGTCCCCTAGTGATAAACATCCATGTGCATTTCCTCCCCCCGTTTAAACCTCGAGCCATTCAAGCTTCGCTCGTCGCAAAACAAAGTAACACTAGACAAGTGGAGACGTGGGAGGCTGAATATTGGAAGAAAGTACACGATAAGAAGCAATAGATAGTTTTCATCAGCTTATTTAATTAGCTGAGCCAATTAAGTAAATATGGGTGTATCTGAGATCATTACACCAATCATATAGAAGAATTCTTAAGAAAAATTATAGCTTGTATAAAACATTAGGTAACTGTGATATTTTTCAAGTTTACTTGCTGCAATTCTAAAGCTTAAGACCTTGGCCAATTTGTCTGATAATTTATTTATCTTTTAATTTAAAATTTGAAGTGAAGTAGCTGGTATTTAGCACACTTCTATTTTTTATAAATAATTTATCGAATTTCAAAATTTAGATCTTGGTCTATCAATATTTGTGCAATAAATTAAGTGAGTTTAAAATAATTAATTTAAAGAAAAATAACGAAATTTATAATATATTCATAATAGCATAATATTAGGACTGTAGCATAATTTGATTTGCGACAGCCATTTGGGTTGTATGGATTAAAATTTACTAAATTAGATTATATGGATAAAATCTATAACTTATGCATACTACAGGGATTATGGATACAGTTTATCCCAAAATTAAAATGAAAAGTAAATAGAAAAATAAAATATGAAAGTCATGGAATGCAACCACTTCCTTTTATATTAATTTTTGGTCAAATCGTGTTATAATGCTCGGAACTTAAATATGAATTTTCTTTATTAAATCTGTGTACTAATATAAAACTGTAGAACAAAAAATGTCTTATAATATACGAATTTAATTAATTTTTTTTGGATTTGTCAAAATGACGAACAAATTCACAATGCGAATTCCAATTTCGCAACCCAGTTTCTAATTCCGCAACGCGAATATGTAAATTCGCGTTGCGATATTCCAAATTCGCAACGCGTTAGTCAAATTCTCAACGCGAAAGTCAAATTCGTAACGCGAAAGTCAAATTCGTAACTGAATTTCAAATTCGCAACTAAATTTCAAATTCGCAACGCGAATTTAATTTCGCAACAGGTTTTAGTTTCGCAACACAAATGTTTTGGGTATATAACAACGCAGCAGCAGCAACTCATAATCTAAATCCCTAAATCGTAACTCATTTCATCTCCATCTATCACTCTCTCCGGCGACATTCGTTCCTATATCCAACGACATCCTTCCTCATCTCTATTTTTTTACATAATTTTATTTCTATATAATTTTTCAATGATTTCTCTCCCAAATTATCAACTATCAACTTAATAAAGGTATGTTTTTCTCTAAGTTAGTGATGATATCTAGTTTATAGCTCGTTTGTTTAGTAAATTAATTTATAATTTTTAGAATGAAATCATCTAATGTTGATCATGTTTAGATAGATTTGTGTTTTGGAGGGTCATGGGAGAATGTTCATGGTGTTTTACAATATATGTCTTTACCCATGAATCTTCAACTAAAACTGTCATTAAAAAAGTTAACTTATGAAACTCTAATGTTACGTGTTGCAAAGAAATTGAATTTAGAGCCTCTAAGTGGATTTAGGCTATCTTATCTGAGAAAAGGTAAAGTTTATTTGTTAACCGACAATGAAGATGTTGAACGATTCATTGCTTACATTAGTTTTTCGCAAGAAGATGATGTTACATTATATGTTGTTGAACCTAGAAGTAGTGAAGTTGGGTCAGTAGCGGGTAGTAATCAACAAAGTTTTTCAACCCAAAATTTAATGGTTCCACCACAATTTCATCACCAAGCAAATTTTGTTTCACCACATTTCTAATACCAAACACAATATCAAACACAATCTCAAAACTCACAACCTTTTCTTAATCCAAATCCCAATCAACTTTCAGCACCAAATTTCGGTTTTCGTATTGACCAGTTAGACGATTATGAGCCAACAGAAAAAAATGTGAGTACTAGTCAGTATTCGAAATTTGATCTTGGTCAATACACGGACTTTGATCTTGGTCAATACTCGGATTTTGATGATGTGATGGAAGAAGAAACAGACCCTGCATGTAATGATTTTGATATTGGTCAAAATCTGAATTTTGATGATGAAACAGCCGATGCCGAGGAAGATGCTGTTGATGATAATGAGGAGAAAGTTACGACTGTGAATGAACATGTTGAACATCCATTCTGTAATTCATATAACCCTGAAGAAGAAAAAGAAGAAGAAGAAGAAGTCCCCGAAGAAAGGAAAAAGAAGAAAATGCCACGTGAGTATAACTGGAATATGCCAGAATTACTTCAGATACCGGAAGAAGAGTTGGTAAGGATATCAGTTGATTGTTACACAAAAGTTATTCGTATCAAGAAAGATGATTGTTTTGATACAAAGGAAGACTTGAAGATAGCTTTGTATACGAAATGTGTGGAAGATGGTTATCAACTAAAAGTTAACAAATCAAACAAAGATTGTTTCGAAACAAGGTGTATGATTGACAAAAACTGTACGTGGCGTATGATTGCTAAGAGGATAAAAGATTGCGAAATGTTTCAAGTTAGGACTTTTATTGATAAACATACATGTTCAAGAACCCAAGTTTTTCCTCACCATAGACAGGAAAACAAAAAGGTGTTGGGTGGTTTTCTGGCTGAGTTAATGTTTTTGAATGGAAGGGTATATCGGGGACATGAAATTATGACTGACATGAATGCTCGGTTCAAGATTGGTATCTCATATTCTCAAGCTTGGAGAGCCAAATGTTATGCCTTGGAATTGTTGAGGGGGTCGCCAGAAGCATCGTTTGCCCAACTGCCGGCTTATTGTCACAATTTAAAGCTGAAAAATCCTGGGTCGGTAACTCATATCAAAACAGATAGAGATGGACGCTTTGAGTTGCTGTTTATCGCCATTGGTGTTGTGGTTAGTAAATAATTATAATTTTGTTAACTCATTTTTGTTAGTTGCATGCATTTCACATTTAAATGATTATATTTCTTGTGTATATGATTTTGTAGATTCGTTCGTTTATTACTTGCATGCACCCAGTTATTATAGTTGATGGAGCACATTTGAAAGGTCGATACCTTGGAGTAAACTTATTAGCAGTAGCCATGGATGCTGACAATGGGATACTGCCAATAGCTTATGGGGTTGGCAAATCTGAAACCTCTTATTCATGGACATGGTTTATGGGGTATCTTAGGGATTACATAGGTCCTATTAACAATCTGATAATCATATCCGATAGGGAAAACTCAATTGAAAACGCTGTTAGAAGGTGTTTCCCAGATGCTTTTCATGGACTTTGTGGTGTTCATTTGTACAGAAATCTAAAATCAATGTCTGCTGGTATAAAAAATCACAAATGGACATAATGGAATGCTGTAAAAGCTTATCGGGAAGTGGATTTTAATAAGCATATAAATTATTTAAGACGAGTTTTGCCTCAATGTACTCAAATACTAGAAGATGTCGGGTTTGAAAGATGGTCAAGAGTACATCAACTTGGAGCAAGATATGGTTTCATGACGTCTAATAGTGCAGAATCAATCAACGCTCTAAGTCGTCATTCCCGGAAATTACCCATTACTGTTAATGGAGTTTTTTTGAGCCTCTATTCAACAGTGGTGCTACAAGAAAAGAAACCATGCAGGTATTATTTCTTTAAATTCGTAACTTATCATATATTTTACTAAGTATTATTTATTTTAATTTACAGGAACATTGGAACGTCGTGTTACACCATGGACTGAAAAAAAGATAACGAAACGTGTTATAAAGTCAACGTCCTGGAGAGTTGAACCATGTTCAAACACTTTGTTTGAAGTATTGGATAATAATTTAAATGGGATTGTCGATCTAAATGCAAAGACGTGTAGTTGTAAGAAATGACAAACATCTGGTTATCCGTGTGGCCATGTTATAAAAGTTGCTCTTCATCTAAACCAAGATGATTCAAGCGCATACGCTATGGATTACTACATTACAGAAGTATATCGACAGACTTATGCCGAGATTGTCTACCCATGTCCACATCCTTCTGAGTGAGACATATCAGATGACTTACAAACAGTTTTGCCACTAGTCATGGACAGCAGGCTACCTGGCCGACCAAAAAATCACGATCGTATACCGTCTAAGGGTGAAGAGAAGAGGATATCGACATGTAGTCGGTGCAAGGAAAGTGGTCATACAAGGTTGACCTGTGGATCACCAGTGCCATCACAATCATCTTTTCCTCTACTAAAAAATGAATCCTCATCAAAATCCAAAGCTCATATGGTGCCAAGCAAAAAGAAATCAAAATCGCAATCAAAATCCCAATCACAACCGGCTTCACCTTTTGGGACTTATTAACTTAGGTGATTTTTAAATGCAAACGTTATATTATGTGTATTTTATGTGTGAATGCATACATTTTCAGTTAGACATTCATTAGTAACTTGAGTTTGAATATTGCTATGATATGTTCAGTTGTTATCATGTTGGGATTTTCTCTTGTGTTTGATTGCTTGAATAGTTGTTATCTTGCTTCTTCAAGTGTCCTTAGCTTATATTTATAGCTTGGAATGTGTTTGATGTTGTATATACCTTGATGTTGTATGTTGCGATCAACGCGAAAGTCAAATTCGCAACGCGAAATAAGCGTTGCGAATTTGACTATCGTGTAGCGAATTTGACTTTCGCGTTGCGAATTTGACTATCGCAACGCTTATTTCGCGTTGCGAATTTACCTTCAACATGTCTTTTTTACCTTCAACATAATTCAGATTGAAAATTAAACAACAAATCAATTAAACATTGTTGTGGGTACATTATTTGAACATTGTTATGGGTACATTATTTGGAAAAATAATGTTCCGTACTTCGTTAGAAATATTCATCGGATTAATTTCGTTTTTGTGGGTACATTATTTGAACATTGTTATGTATAAATGTTGTGTATGTGTTTTGGTTTGATTCTATGT